TTCTGGATCCGGCACAAACACTAGAAAGTCGGGGCCCATGGTGTGTTTGCAATAAAGCTCTCCACTTTCTCTTGCATGGCTGTGATCCGGCCCCGAGGTACCGTGCAGTAGTAGGGGGTATTTAGCTCTCGGTAAGAGGCGGATGGCTCCGCCCAATTGTCCCCCTTCTCAACTGCGTGAGAAAGTCTCGCCTCTTGCAGGCGGCTGTTTTTCTCTTCTGTGTCCAAAGAAGCATGGCCAGAAGAGCTTGACTCGGAATCGTCCTCTGACGAGTCCGAAGAGGACGACTCCTCCCCTCTCCCGGAGGGGCCCACCTCCTCTCTTTGAGCGGCACCCTGTGGGAGGAGCCGTCTGAATTTGAGATCCTAGCAGTCTTTTTCGTTCTGGCCATCCTGCTCTGCATAGACACAGATACAGTCGGACTTTGTTTAAAGGGCAAAGATGGGTCCGGAAAAGGGCAGGCGGCACTCCTAGGTCGTGTCGTGTGCTTCCGTGGTGCCATTTCAAAAAATAAAAAGAAAAAATTAAGAGTAAGAGAACCGACAGTTACCTGAACGAGTGATGATTGATGAAGTGCTGAAAATCCTGTGCAGTCGGCTTGTCAGAACAGGCGGTAGGCAGAAAAGGTCCAAAATGTCAGAGCAAGTTCAGGGGTCCGAATGTTCTCTCTCAAAGTTCTCAAGTGTGAAAATGACTCAAGACAATCCTCCCTTATATAGGCGAAGTGAGAAGGCGAAGGGTCACTTTCAGAATTCAAAATTTGGGCGGGAAAATCTCTCGGCCTTTCGCCGACTGACACCTGTAGAGGGTCGTCGCCTGTTACAGTGCGACACCTGTCACAGGTAACACGTGACCAATGACGTGCCACCTGTGAGGGGCAAATGATTAGGGGATTTTGCTCCCACCAATCGGAATGCGCCACGTGGGCCAATCAGGTCCTGCCAAGTGTCCCCCAGTTGGAACTGTCAGGGCTTGCCACGTGGCATGCGCTTATTCGTCCACCTTGGACCTATTATGTCATGACATGTGGCATACTCCATGCCTAATGGAGAAACCGGCCACCCAGGCCCAACTTCCGAGGGAAGCCCAATCAGCCCTAGGTTAACCTAAACCTAGGATGGGCACGTTTCCCAAGGTTATAAATACCTCCCTTAATCCTCATTAAGGGGGAACACAAAAAAACACATTAATTACACACAGTAATAACCGGCTGATCTCGCTAACAAAGCAGATTACCTACATTAAACACTCTCACCTAGAGAGACCCAATCACTTTAATTTCCGCATTAATTACTCCTTAATCAAGTACTAACTTGACCGTTGGAGGCGGAGATCCCACCACCAGGAGTCTCCGTTATTTTGCAGGTACAGGCGTCCGGTTCCAGTCTCGGAATTGTAACTCTCCCGCAGGACATCAGAAAACCCCGAAACAGTGCATTCCTAGTTTTCCATAGGCCCCATAAGGTAGCAATAAACTTAATGCTACAGGTTCCATACTTACATCCTCGCTATAGAACAACTGGATATAGTGTTGGATCCACGTTCTCAAAGAATTGAATCCAGGTAAGTCAGAGAAAATTGCCAGGGAGCCATTCTCCCAGACCTCCTTTGCTAGATTACACAGTCTAAAAAGATGTTGATTGTCTTCCTCATCCACTCCGCAAAACTCACAAGTCTCATCAACTTGTATGCCTCTTTTAGCTAAATTACTCTTTACTACAAGTCCATCATGAAAGAGCTTCCACAGAAATATCTTCCATTTAGGATGAATATTCATTCTCCATATGAGCTTTACAAAATTCTGTTCCTCCAAAGAAAGGGCTAAGAGTCCTGCCCCTATATTTCTAGCCAGGAAGTAATAACCAGTTTTAACAGAAAACATGTCTGACGGTTGGAATTTCCAGTAGAGGAAATCATCCTCCATAGAATAGGGAAGATCCATTGCCAGGATTGCTTTTGCGCTATTCCATTCAAAACATTCTCTAACTTTTCCCACTTTCCAAGCAGCAAAATCCTTGTCAATGAAATCACTAACCTTCCATCTTAGGGACACTCCTAGAGTTTGATTTGAGTTTTCCACTGGAATTTCCCCATTGACCCAAGGCATTCTAATAGCCATGATGCTTTCCCCATTACCCACTTTCCACGCAAAACCTTATCTGAAAGAACTGGTCACTTTTTGTAGACTTGACCTTTCTAACGAAGGATATCCTACTCTCTCGTAAGGCTTAGACAGATTGCATATCCCGCAAGGTTGGAACCCTCTATGAACTCTTGAGAGCAAAAGCTGTGGGTTCAGGTGCATCCTTGTTGCCTGTTTAAACAATAGGGAATCATTAAGAGTTGACGTACCTCGAATACCTAGACCTCCCATACTCTTATGGAGTTGAATTGTTGCTCTATTCACCCAATGCATACCCTTATCACCATTGTTAGACCGCCATAACCTTGTGATAAGGGAGTCAATTTTGTTTGAAATACTTTGCGGTAATTTCAGGCATTTCATGACATGAGCCGAAATACTTACCAACACCGTATTGATTAACACCAGTTTGGCTGATTGAGAAATACGTAAAGAGTCCCAAGAGACTATCTTCTCTGACACCTTGTCAACTAGGAATTGAAATGAAGAGCTCTTCTTTCCCTGGATATTAATTGGGGCTCCTAGGTGAATCCCCATGTTATCAGTCTCAGCCATAAAAAGGATCATTTTTAGAGACTTTCACGTACTGGTATCAAAACCAAGCGAAAATTTAAAAAAAGATTTTTGTAAATTCATTTGCTGGCCAGAAGCCCTCCCAAACCTTTGAAGAATGTCCCTGATGCAAGTGCATGATGTCTCGGATGCTTTAAAGAAAAGCATGGCATCATCCGCAAAAAATAAATGCGAAATAGAAGGAGATCTCCTTGACACACTTAACTCCTTGAATTGATTTATGTCCTCTGCCAACGTCAGCATCCTTGAGAGGATATCCATACAGAAGATAAACAGATACGGGGATAACGGATCCCCTTGTCGAAGACCACAATTAGGGGAGAAGTGATCTGTGGTTTTCCTATTGATGACAGCCTTGAAACTTACTGTTGAGATACATTGTGAAACCATTCTAATCCAGTGGTTAGAGAAACCATAAGCCTGCAATACCTTAAGGAGGAAAATCCAGTCTACTCTGTCATATGCTTTTGACATATCGATCTTCACTGCAGTATAGTTCGAGCCCTTCTTTGAATTTATCAGATGCATAAGTTCATGGCTTAGAAGAACATTATCCTCCATGTATCTTCCTAGAATAAAGGCATTTTGGTTCTCAGAAATCAGTTTTGGAAGGATTACCTTGATCTTGTTGACCAGACATTTAATATTAATAAGTATTTCAATTCAAATTTAAAATGATTATAGATTAATATTAACAAGTATTTCAATTCAAATTTAAAATATAATATTTGGTTTTGTTTTATTTAACTTTTTTTTTTTTGAAGGGATGTTTTTATTTGACTTTTACAGGTCTCTAGTTTGATAAAAACTCATGGTAAAATAAACTTGTAATAAGGCAATCAACTTTAACAAAATGTGGGCATTAAAGAATTTCTTTTTACAACAACAAATTTTAATTCTTAGCAAAGTGATCATAATCAATTTGCTAATTGACACTTTACTCAATTATCCTGATATTAGAGTTTTGATAATGGGATTTCCACTAGCAAGCAAAATGCTATATTGTTTTTGACTACTATATTTGGACGGCTTTTGTCTCCCTTGTTAAATGGCCCATTCTAACTAGTTATACACACACACACAAATTCATTCTTAATTAGTTCAAAAGTGTTCAAAGCTAAAAACAATTGAAGTCAAACAATTAAGTTCTCAGAAATTGGGTCAAAGATTAAATTAATAAAAAGACTTATCATGTCAAACCACTATACATCTAAAGGAAAGATGGTTTTGAATCATTGTCTTCTTTCCTGTTACGCCAATTAATTCATGTTACGTGCAATCAGCCGCAAAAGTTACAGTTTTAAGAGAAATTAGTGTTCTATCATGCTATTAGGAATTCAAGTCATTTGATTAGTTGGTCCATTTCAAAACTAATGCAACTTACATTTGTGCCTACTGGATTTTGATGTATAAGTTTGTTAATATTATTCTACTCCATGTCCCATTTTTTCAAAAAATAAAAAATAAAAAATAAAGATAAAATTATTTTACTTTCATTTGGAAATGTATGCCAAGTCTAAAATTTTATCAATATTATTCTTAATAATCAACTAGTTAATGCCCGAGCTATGCTCGGATTTTTTTAATAAATACAAATTTTAAAAAAAAATAAACAAAACAAAAGTTTTTGGAGGGAAAATATTTAATATGGTGTTGACACGTGTAATCTAATAATTATTTTGCGGATTACTTTAATATATTAGTATAGATACTCATAAGTAATAAGTATAAAAAGTTAATATTAAAAAATTATACTTTGAGATTATTCAAATAAATATCCACTAATTAATCCACCTAATTTTGAGATTAATCCAATAAGTATTCACTTGCCTAAATTACTAAAATTGACTACGTAATTAATGAAAAAAAGTTAAAGTAATGCATTTATTTTGAAATGGATGAAGTTTTATTTTTCGGTAGGATATATAAGGACTAAATTGAATTATCTAGATAAAAGATATATATCTCGCCTCTCCTTTCCTTTTCTCTCCTCCTCTCTTCTAGGGTTTCTCCAAAATCTTGGTCGTTTAGGCCGGAAATAGTCTTCGAAAATTAGACTATTTCCGACTCTTTTCCCTTAATTTCATTTAATTTTGCATTTTAGGTTTCAATAAATCTACACAAGTAATGTAGATATTTGTCCGACAATTTTATTATTATTATTATTATTATTATTATTATTTGGTGAATTTGGTGAATAAAATGCTTTGGGAAATGCACCATTGCAATAAATAATATATATTGTCAAAAAGTGGGGTAAAAGTCACAAACGGTGCAAACCAGCGTTTTTTAACGACAACTAACTCAAGAGTAACGTCGTCTGTAGAATTTACCATGGTTAATAATTAGTATACAACAGGTAGTTCCCCAATCCAATTTGAATTCTATAATGGAGGACTAGGGGGATCATAAAGTTGAAGCTCCACAGAGTTCAACAACGGATTGTTGTATAGAAAACTTATTTGTTGTTTGCGATTTCCGAAGCACTTAATGCGACGACAGTGGCCAAGGTGGTGATCTTCAACCCTTCAGGCGAATCGATTGTGACGAATAAGGTATGGCCGAAATTTTCCTATTTCGTTCAAATCCTAGCCATTGACTTGTGTTTATGGAGATACATTTTGCCTTTAGGGGAGAGTGTTTGTTCTTTTGTCTGTAAAAGTAGATGGTTTGTTGTTGGATTGGTTGTGTTGAATTACAGCTTATGTTATTGGCATGGGAGCGGTGTTTATTTTTGCAGCGATGGATTATTTTTGCAATGTTGTTGTTTTCGATTGCAAAACGGTTGTTACAAGTTCTTGAATTAAATTTATAAGTAATATTACGAATTTTATTGTGTTTGTAACTGATGTATTTGAGAAAGGATATTTAATTCTGGTGGTTGAAATTCTGATTTTCACTGTTCTTAAGTTATGTGATCCTTGAATAAGTGGGCATATATGGAATAATAATTGTAGTAACACTGAGTTGTTGTGATTGTTTTGTACAGCTATGGCGGGTAATGTTGAGAGGGGTAATACAATTGAAGAGTGTGTGGTAGAGACTGATTCTGATTCTGATGTTGATGGAGATGGATGTTCCAGAGTCTCCTAAAGGGCTATAGGTGGAATGGATGTTCCAGAGTCTCCTAAAGGGGTATATGTTGTAGAGAATGGGGAATCATCTAGGTCTCCATGTGTTGATGGTGATGTGCATATCCAGGGCTGCAGGACCCCAGTTGAGACAGGAGGAAATGTCCACACTCCACACAGTTGTTTCTAGTAATAAGGTAAATGTAGTGCACACTGTTGAATGTCCAAAGGTTGGAATGGTGTTCAGTTCATGGAAAGATGTAGAATCATACTTAAAGGAATATGGTGAGCAATGTGGTTTTGGTATCACCAGGGTTCAAGGTTCATTTTCTAAGAAGACGGACAAGAAAGATAAGGAGCGTAGGGGGTCCACCTGGAGGTGCGAGTGTTGGGGGAGACCGGACATGAGGGCTGTGCGGGAGGCAAAGAAGAGGGCTAAAGCCATGAAGGTCAGTGGATCAGTTGGTGCTCATATTGCAGAACCTGAATTAAATCGGGGCAAGAGGAAGTCTAAAAAGTGTGAGTGCGGGTGGAGGATTTATGCTAGTGTTAATAGTGATGGTGATTGGGAGTTGAAAACAGTTATTCTGAAGCATAATAATCATAAACCAGACCCTAGCCAAGCTGATTTAGTTAAGGAGTATCGTATGAAGCAGCTGACAAAGACATTGGCTGAGAGGTTGATGGTGTTCTATGAGGAAGGAGTACTTGTTTCTCGTATCCACGTGTGTTTTGCTGCTGAGATGGGAGATGGTGGAAAAATGAAGATGACTGTGAAGGATATGCAACATGAGGTATACAAGGCGAGGCGTTTGAAAATGGAAGGCGGTGACTCGGCAGCCATGATGTCCTACTTTGAGTACATGATGGCTGATAATCATAACTTTTTTTATGTAACCCGTTTAGATGAAAATGGTCGCCTAAAGGATGTGTTGTGGGTGGATGCTCGTAGTAGGGCTGCCTATGAATACTTTGGTGATGTAGTTTGCTTTGATGCGACTTATCTCACTAATGAGTTTGCTTTACCATTTGCGAATTTTGTTGGGGTAAATCATCATGGGCAATCTATTCTACTTGGAAGTGCTTTAGTCTCTCATGAGGACTCTGATACGTTTCGGTGGATATTCAAGCAGTGGCTGTCATGTATGGGAGGGAAAGCACCAATTGGTATTCTGACTGATCAAGCGCCAGCTATGCGTAAACCTTTGGAAGAGCTTATGCCTCATACCCAGCACAGGTGGTGCATTTGGCATATCACTTCTAAGTTTGGTGACAAGCTTGGGAAATGCCCACTGTAAGTGTATAAGCTCCTTTCAAATGTATTTCACTGCATAAATTGTATCAAATTGTTCTAGATTGCAATATATATTACAGCTTATTTTTTTGTAGCCTAGTAGTTGAAGCTGTTGCTGTGTGTGCATGTGTATAATGGTGTTTTGTAAATGGATGCTTCTGCCAAGCTAATCATTTGGCTAATTTTTCATGCCAATCTTGTGCATTGAATTTTTGTTCTGTGTAGGTATGCTGAGTTTAAAAGCCTGCTGAAAAGTGTTATCTATGAGAGCTTCACCCCAGAGGAGTTTGAGCGGAACTGGTGTTCATTCATTAAAGAGTATGAACTTGAAAATAATGAATGGTTGAGTAACATGTTCCAAGAACGAGAGATGTGGGTCCCTGCGTATATGAAAGAGTTTTTTTGGGCGGGGATGAAGACTACTCAAAGAGTTGAGAGTATCAACAGCTTTTTTGATGGTTATGTTAGCCGGAAAACCAAGTTGCATGAATTTCCAAGACAGTATACTAGAGCCATGACCAAACGGGTCAAAGATGAAACAGATGCGGATGCAAACTGCAAAAAGTACATTCGAAGGCTTGTAAGCGGTTTCAAGCTTGAGAAGTTGTTTCAAAAGATTTATACTGATACTAAATTCCAGGAAATTCAAACTGAGCTGTCTAGATTAATGTATTGCTACTGCCGTGATGAGAAGATGATTACTGAAACTGTTGTGCAGTACCTTGTTGAGGATCGTGTTTGGATAATCCCGGAAGGGGAAAAGGAGGAAATCATAACAGATCGGAGGAGGTTTTACCAGGTCACCTTTGACAGTATCAGCAAGGAGGTGTTTTGTGATTGCCGGAAGTTTGAGAGCTGTGGAATAATGTGCAAGCACATGTTTCGCATTCTTGACCAGAATCTGGTTTTTGACATACCGGAGAAATACATCCTCACTCGATGGCGCAAGGATGTACAAAGAAGGCACACCCGGGTAACAGTCCCGTACCATGACCCTTCTAAAACTGTGCAGGTGAAGAGATTCAATGCAATGTTATCTAATTTTGAGTCCATTTGTGAAGTTGCTGCAAATGTGGATGACGATACTGTGCTCCTTGTAATGAAAACCCTTAGCAAGTTGAAAACTGATGTAGATGAAGCTAAACAGAAGAGGGAGCAACTTCGTGATGTCTGTGAAGTTGTTAAATTTCCTACTGAAGTAGCAGAAGGGTTGACCTCTTCATCCATTAGAAAACCTTATACTCCATCCCAATCAACTGTGTTCAATGAAGAACCTTCATCCCAGCAGGATGAAACTGACTTTTCTGCTGATCAGGACAATGTTCCAGAAACAGTTTGTCACCCGCCTCCATCACAATGGCAACAGTCTCAGAAAACTGTTAATGTTTTAGACCCTGTTACAAACAAGAGGTGAAGAGGAAGACCTAAGGGTAGTCGAAACAAGTCCAAAGCATAGACTGGTTATAAGAAGAAGAAAGTCAAACGGGTTGATGTATGTGTAAAACTGGTACTTATTGTTGTGTTTTTTTTTTTTTTAATTTTTGTATTTGGTCTAACTCATACTCACTTATTTGCAGCATGCAACTCAGTTCATACTGGACACATTTTATCCTTCATCTTTCTATGGGGAAGTTCAGGTAATATTACTGGTACTCGCGCTGTTTGTGTACATATTACTAATACTGCTGTCGTCTAAACCCTTGTCAATTTGCAGACTAGACGACAAAAACTACTTCAGCAGAATCAGCATGCCAAAATTCAACTGAGCACCAAAAATGCTACTTTAAATCTCAGTGATAGTGATGACTGCGCATCTGAACATTCATTTGAATTAGGATATGTCAGGAATGGACTGAAGATGGCATGGAGGTTGGGCAATCTTGGCATGGTGTAATTGGGGATCAAGGTCTTAGAACATGGGTTGTAATTGTTATCGTTTTGCATTTTTTGGATACCTTAACCTAGATTATTGCCTGTGTTCATGGTTGCAGTATGCCTGTCTACCTTATTTTGAAACTAATTAATTAACCTATATTTTGTTCATGGTGATTTATTCATTTACCTTGGTGAAACATTTCTCTGTACTCGTTTCAATTTAACAAAATCCAAGACACCTGAAATAATTTGAAACGCACTCAATTATGATGCTGAATGCTGGATATGGCATTCAGAGTCAACTAAATAAACAAACACATTCATTACTTGCTCTACAAAACAACAAAACAATCATTACAATGCTTTGGTTCTGTAAAACATTAATTACTAATTGTAGGCGTCGTTCGAAGTGCGCCTACATAAAAGCATGTTGTGAATATGCTTGGCACTCATAGGAAGTGGGAATTGACATATACGATTAGGGACAAAAAAGTAGGGAGCCGCCAACAAGTTTTTAAGGAACTTGTAAACCGTTCACGGATCATAAAAAGGCAACCACGATAAGGGACAACGATAGGCAACAACGATTGACCCGTGAAGGTTACACCCCATTCATAATCCATGAGATTACTAACTCCATATGGTTCGGAACCACGAAAGGAGGATCGGGGATGATGGTACGAAGTGAGTCATGGAGTCACATTCGCCCGTATTGGCCTCTACTCGATTCTTATATTGAAAAGCATTCCTGTGATCTCAAAGGCGTACAAACAATAATTCAATTCGCTCCAAACTATTATTTAACTAAATTGGTTTAATATTAATGCACACATAATTCTAAAATATTGGTGATCACTTCAATTAATAATAAGATTAAAAGGAACCTAAACCGGTTGTCCAAATTATCTTATTAGGCGTGGTTTTCAATTACATATTCCCTTTAAACATGCAATATAGTGATCAATAAAAAAATAATAGAATAAACACTAATATTGGAAGCAATTTAACAATAATAGTGTTAGCCAAATTAAATATAAAATAACCCTAATCATGATACTAGCAATATTAAAAATAAAATAAGAGCAATTAAATTAAGTAATTACTCACATTCTGCGCGTTCCTTTAAATTGCTACATCATGAATAAACTGTTAGTAACTTTAATAAAAAAAAATATAAAGTAAATGAAAATTAAATCAAATAAAAAGTAGAGTTGATTTGGTCCAAACCCTCAGTTATTTGTACCTTTCACGCCTTGGTTTAAGGACGGAACCTCGGGTTAAGTATAGACTCCTTGGAGTGCTTAGGGGAATTGTTGTGGAAGAATAAAGAGGCTAGAAATTAAGTTAAAGAGGGAGAAGAGAATGATTTTTGGTGTAAGGTGAGAGAGAATGATTATTGGTGCCCCGAACTGCAGAAAGGAGGGGGGTATTTATAGGGAAAATGAGCAGATTGAACACACGAAACCCTAAAAAGATAAAAACCCTAAAAAAGGCTACCGCGACGCGGCAGATTCTACCGTGTCACGGGGGAAATTAGCGTGACGCGGGGAAAAATAGAGTAACGCGGGAAATATTTGACCTACGGGAGTAAAAACGCGTGAAGGGATTACGCGGAAAAGACACGGAGTTGTCCCGTGTCACAGCACTGGCACCGTGACACGGGAATTCCTACCGTGACACGACAGTAATTCCCGTGTCGCGGAACAGTTCCCCGTGACGCGGGGAAGTTTTAAGCACCGTGACACGTCAGCAACCCACCGTGACACGGCAGAAAATGCCGTGACGCGGCAAAGTCCACCGTGTCACGGCATATGGCGCCGGGTCACGGTACTTATGCCAAGTTACGGGGCACTAAAAAACATGAAAGTCCCCTCCAAATTACCGTGTCACGGGAATTTCTCCTGTGCCACGTCAGATCTTGCCGCGTCGCGACATTTTAGCTGCTGCGCGGTAATTCCAGTTTTTTACGCGTTTTTAAAATCATCATAACTTTTTATCCGTAACTCGAAATAAAGCATATAATATATCATTGGAAAGCTTATCAAGTCTACGTTCTAACCCAATTAAAATCAAGTCAAAATAATTTGTATATTTTAAGATATGGCCGTTTTAGTAGAAGGGTGTCGGTTTTGGGCCGAGTTTAATGTTTTGCTCATATCTTTTTCGTTATAGCTCGGAATTGAGCTTATGATATATGGTTGGAAAGCTTATTTAAATTCCTATCTAAAAAAATAATAATTGGATCAAAATTTTATAGCCATAAAATCAGTTTCTCTCAGTTTTGCGATGTGGACACGAAAAGTGGAAAATAGGTTATGGTTTAGGGAAATGAGCTAGAAATTGGATTGGTTCATGAAATATATTGGATAGAACATGGATTTAAGCACTCCAAAGATTAAATACTCAACTCGACCAATAATGGCGGTGAAAGGTGTTCATCAACGGGTTTGGTTTTGGGGAGATATTTTTAGGTGTCTACACTAATACTTGTTCCTCAAAAGTAAATTAACTTGTTCATGAAAGCATTATTTCATATGTAATACGTGCTATCTTCTGCTTGGAAATTACTTCAGTCAAACTACTGCTGGAAATTGATATTCTATGTTGCATCAACACTTCTTAGTCCCAATCGTGCATAGTAGGGTCATCATCTAGACCAGCATTGGTGTACCAGTCAGATATTATCGCTTCAGCATCGTCACTACCATCCTCTTCGGTGATATCCATTATGTCTGGTATGTAGGACGGGATCTCTCCAGTCAACCTGTTCATTTGTTCGTACCCTGGCTGCAATTGCATATAATATTTAGTTAACTATCTCCTTTTTCTACAAATTAAACTTGTAAACAAAGATCAAATTGGTTGTTTAGATAGTTACCAAAATAAAGAAAGACATAATATGGCCGTACAAGCTTGATTTCCTGTGTGTGCAGAATGGCTCTACATGATAATCCCACGCCAAAAGCACCCCACCCAAACCAGTGTTTGGACTAGCCTCCTCCACCTTGTAACCACTTCCCATATCTATTCTGACCTTGTGCAACATTGGTGTTGACACTCTAGCCTCGGTCACCACAATCAACATTGGATAATATGCTTTGCGAATAATTTGAATATTCTCTTTGAACGAGGGACGGTGGAAATTTTGCCCGTTCCACAAAATCACCTTTGATCCCTTAGGAAATTTCCTTTTGACGGGGGAACTGATCTGCCCTGACTGCACTTACAATGGCTTAGTAGTATCTAGTCGATCTAGATTGAGTTATGTAAGATTCAACTGATACGTTAATGGTGTACAGATTATCTGAAACCTCCATGACATGTATTCCTGCCTTGTTTGCGCCCAAAATGATCTTACTACTATGTAATGGAACGATGTAAATTGGGATATCATCTGGGTTGATTAGTATCTTCAAATCAAACACATCAATTATTTCTCTTGGTATATATGTCGTAGTGGATGGACAATGGAGTTTACAAAGCCATTTGAAGAAGACAGCAGCTCCCTTATGCAAATACGCCTCAACGTCTTTAATATGTGGCATATACGCCGGCTGCACTGGACGATTACCAATCCTCATGACTCTCCAAGGGAAAGTGTACCTTGTACCTGCCTCAGGGTTGATGCATAGTTCGGAATGGAGTGTGTCAACTCCAATTTTGTTGAAATCAGTTAACTGAGATTCGTTGAAATAATATTCCACGGAATTAAATTGTAATTCCGGTTCTTCCTTGGCTTCCACACGCTTGAAGTACAACACAGGTTTAGTCGGATGGAATACAACACCTTTTCCCTTTGTTGTTTTAATTTGTAGTTGAGCATTTTGAGATACTATTGATTTTCTATTTTTATGCATGGTTAGTTTTTCAAAAGTTGTGGAAAGAAAAGGAGATGAGAATATGAGATAGAATAGAAGTGTGTTATGTTTAATATTATGGTCTCATATTCTTACCAAAGGGACTTCGAAAACATATCTTCTTAGTGTAGCTTTAAGTCACTTTTTCAGAAGGTTTTAATCAACAGCACAGTGATGAGCTGAAAGTAGATAGGGGTAAGGGAGTAGGTGTGTCAGTGCCAGGTGTACAATCTACAGAGTATTCAAACAACCATCCAAATGCATTGCCTTGTGTTATTGGATTTTTAATGGTGCATCAATGCGAAAAGAGGTGTTGAATACACATACATAACAATCTATATTTGCTTACATATTTCCCGAGTAATTTTTATTTGTTAAATATGAGTTTCCTGGGGGTAACAACGGTAATTTATATCAAAAACACTTCCTAGGGTTTAAAAAAACAGATTACAAGTTGTAAATTATTAACATGCTTTTGTTACTCTCACTGACTGTGATTATTTAATATCATAATGCATTCACAAGATGCTATTCTAATTCATCATCGATACGGAGCTAAAATTTGTACTTGATTCCAATATTAACCTATAATTACCTAACTGATGCACAATTGAACAACAACACAAAATTCATAATACTAATAAGTTGAACGATGAAGAAATTCTCAGCAATAGTACAGTCATCCATACACAAAACGGTTTGAACAGCAACATAAAAAACGACTACACTTAATTAAAAGCTACGACACTTGTTCCACACAGCAGACACCACACTTCAGCCAGGAATCATCGACGCCACCCATTCTCAGTCAGATCCTTGATTGGATTCCCCCACTCGTCCCTCAGCAGAGGCAACCTGCCACAGAACAAGCACACTAATCAGTGTTCACACTAATTACATGGCACAAATTGAAATACAGTCAATCAAAACATTTTAGTAATCACGATTATTCAACCATGATTATAATAACTTAATTAAAAACACTTGAGAAATTACATAACATGATAAATTATTGAACTGCTACAAACTAAATAAGAATACTTGCCTTAATCGATCCAACAATGCGGAGGGGACATGTCGGTGAACCAGAAATCATCAGCTCATCAACCATTGCCCCGGTCTTATCCCATATTATGATAATTCCTTCCTTCAACCCAAACTCTCGTCAATCCGACCCTTGAATTTGCCCTCTAAAGAGCTAAGGACCCTTTTGAAATGCTTGTTTCGAACACGGACCTCAGTAACAATAACTAGGACTGCATTATGAACTCTAACTAGCTCTTTAAAGTTGCTCTCAAAAGAGGGTCTGG